TCCCAACACGGAGGATTTGTGTGGGTCACTTAGCTAACATGGAAAGATGCAAAACGTTCATTAACACAGCTTTCCCTATGAGGCAAGTGTTGTTTGGCATTCATTACAAATACTTGGGGCAAAGAACAAGAGCTGGAAAAACACCTTAGGCATGAGGCCCTTCCTAAATCACATGAAAAATGCTGTAGCTATCTAGAAGACATTTTGCTTCTGCAAGAAGCAAAATAATCCACTCTTGGTCATAAGGGAAACAAGATGGTACAGTAGGTCTGGCTTCAAAGCTATAAAAGCACCGAATAGGAAAATGAGAAATGGGCAAGAGGGAAGGCTCAGACCACACAGTCCAAGGATCTGCTTATGGTTAATTAAATACCCTTTGAACAAACGAGGAAAATAATTTAACTGCAATAAGACTGGGCTAGGAACAGAAAAAGGATGAGAAACTTGAGAGATAACTAACTCCTTCAGCTCTTGATAATGTTGTCCAAGGTGGACAGAGTAAAACCATCTCCCACAAGCTTTGAGTTGCAGGTGTCCAGGCTTCTGAGTCAGAGGAAAAGGGAACTTCATTTGCTTGAGACTTCTACACCAGCTGTTGATTCCAGGCTTTCAGCCGAGCCATGAGGCCTGTCCCACTTCAGGTGTACCACCAGCACACTAAACTAGCTGCTTGGTGTCAAGAGGCAGCACATGACACAAGACTGAACTGTTCCTAAATTATCAACACAGACTTTTTGACAAAAGGTGTATCTACCAGTGCAAAGCCAAGACTCCTCAGTACATACTATGCTAAAGCAACACATCTGTTTCAGTTCATCAATGGCAGAGTCCAGCCAAGCTATATTAAACAAATCATCACTAGTGTAACATTTCCATAATTTCTGTGACAATTACTTTACTACAGAAAGCGTATCTCCCCTAAGGCTTATAAGGCATCTGATTTTCTTCAGTGTTATTTCAATTACACTATATAGAGCTTACTGATGAGTGAAAGAAGCATTTGTCTCCCTGAGAAGAAATTATTTTCAAATCTCTGTTCTCCCAACATTTAGTTTCTGATTTCTATCATCAGAGGAACTAATCCTGTCAGCATGCATGGAACAACAAGACTGAAAACTTAAGTTTTTCTTGTTTTGGATTTAGCACAGATAAGAAGTTTCACCAATCACCATGCCTGTTCAGACACCTCAGAAGACACTGGTGCTGTAAAACTGCCACACAACCTAACACCTCAGGGTTTACAGGCTGCTTTACCATGTCCTCTGAGCTGAATGGCAAAACACCCATCAAGATGTGAGGCTTTCATATTTTCTCTCATCACAGTCTAGAATGTGTTGCCTTTCTCGCCTGTGATTGTTGGTACTGTGGGAGACAATGTACAACCAAGCTTATAACAATGACAAGAAAGCAATCAGTTAGTGGTTCTCTCCGTCTTCCAGAAAAAAGGGTGTATTATGCTCCCTGTTGCCCACAGGAGCATGGTGTTAGTTACAGTTTATGCAACTTATAACCTAACAGCTAGATAATTAAGCTAAAAGGACCTTCTCAGAAAGGAAACTCTCCTAACTTACCAGTAAACACATTCTAACTATGGCACTGCTCCACAACCAAAGAAAAAAATTTACCACCATGCAAACTACTCGCCGTACGTACTTGATATCTTCTCACCTACCCCAAAATAACAGCAGTACCACATGGTTTCTCTCTTTATTCTTCCTCAAGGCCCTAGAAGTCTTGTCCAGTGCTTCTTCCAAGTTGAAAAGCATTTCCCATCCACTATCATAGCACTCCTGATTTACTCACTGCTAACATAAAGATTACTGCTTCTAAGGAAGGCAAAAAAGTCAAGTACATTTTACTCAGATGTTAACACTGAATATGAAGCTACACCTTAATGTATTTATTCTTCTAGATTCTACAAAATAAGTGTTGCTTAATAATATTACTAACAGTTTTTCAGTAACTAGATACTACCATGTACCACATTATAAAATTCCCCCACACGAACAACTGGATGGCTAAGACTTGAAAACTGCATTGGACCCAAGATAAAACAAGTGTTGGAAGCACTTGGATTGCCTGGCCTCACCCAGAAGACAAAAATCTTTCTACTGTTTCCACTGGAGATGTCCCTGGGAATAACTGACCTTGGTAAGCTGAACAAAATGCCCATCATATATAAGTACTAAGTGCAAACTCATATTAGATGAGATCTTGCCCTTAATGAATGTCAATGGCAACTCTGCCACTAACTAGTGGAGCATGATTTTCATTCCATACCATTCAAAAACAGACAAAAAGAATCCCAACACAGAAAATGTTATAACATTCACTTCTTTCTTTAGATGAATATTAAATTAGAAGGCATTACTAATGAGTGTACCAGAAAAAAAATAAAAGAGACTATAGTATTGTGCAGCATAAGTAAGATCTTACACTATACTAAACCTTTCACAGAATCACAGAATTTTAGGAGCTGGAAGGGACCTCGAAAGCTCATCCAGTCCAACCCCCCTGCCAGAGCAGGATCACCCAGACCAGGTCACATAGGAACGTGTCCAGACAGGTTTTGAATGTCTGCAGAGAAGGAGACTCCACAACCTCTCTGGGCAGCCTGCTCCAGTGCTCTGTAACCCTCACAGTGAAAAAGTTTTTCCTCATGTTCAGGTTGAGTCTCCTATGCTCCAGCTTGCACCCATTGCTCCTTGTCCTGTCATTGGACATCACAGAGAAGAACCTGGCTCCTTCCTCCTGACACTCGCCCTTTACAAATTTATAAACATGAATGAGGTCACCCCTCAGTCTCCTCTTCTCCAAGCTGAAGAGACCCAGCTCCATTTAGCTCCATTCACCACAAACCTCTGTGCTCGACCATCAAGTCAGTTTTTAACCCAGCAAAGCGTATGCCCATCCAAGCCAAGCCCAGCATTCTAAAGAAGAAACTAAGTAGATGACAGGAAATGCATTAAGGTAGTCAAAGACACTGCTCTTGACTCATGGTCAAGTTCTTTTGGCTATAATATTTAATTTCATGATAGCTACTCTACATTCAAAAGGACATACAATCTGTATCATCCTAAGACACTATAAAATGCTGACTTTTTTTTTTGCTAATAGAAGTCAGTTCAATTAAATAGGAGGAATTTTAACAATGAAGAACATCCTAGAAAATATTGAAGCTTCTAGAGTCAAGGATTCCCAGAAGCAAATTATACATGCTATAAGAGCTGATAAAGCAATAGCACTTGATAATTTAGTATTCTTTTTTCCAAGTTGGCAGTTGAATACAAAACGACTGTCCCAAACGTTTGTGATCAATGGATCACAATAAAGCTAAATCACATAGCTAAACAAAACCTATCCAAGAGTTGAAGACAGCATTGGAAAGTTCTATATTATACTGACTGTTCACCCAGCAGAAAACAACCACCTTCAGGATCACCAGCCACATTTTATTTTTGAAACAAATACTAGGATCAGGCAATGCAGTAAAGCTGAATAAAAGCTGCTGGGCATCAGGAGCCATTTGTTTGGAGAACTAAGAAATAATGAAAGCTTGACATACTTATGTAATGTGATTAATTTATTTACATCTAAAAGCACTCTTTAAAATTGTCTGTAGCTTAAAACTAACTGGTATGAATTTTCACAGTATATATGCACTTTATGGAAGTTTGGGACACCGCGTGGATTAACGTCACTGTCATTGCCTCATGAAAATTGATCTTTTACCCATGTGATTAGAAAGTTACACATGAAAAACATTCTCAATTTGCAAGTTATTGCTACTCAGTTATTTAGAATTAGCTCACGTAAAGAGGTTCTTGCAGGCTAGATTATAAAAAAAATCAGACCTACCGCTATAATATCCAGAGTGTTGTCACAAACTTTGCAAATCTCAGCATTTTTATCGTGCATCAGGTCTATAAGATATGCTGGAGCCTCTGGAAAGACACCGTTAAGGGTAAAAGCTATTTTTTCCACAGCCCTGGGTTCTTCCAACTGCAAATTTAATTAAGAACCATAGTCTTGAATTTTCCATTGCATGTGAAGTTCAGCAGCCTGTCTTCAAACACTTTTTTTTTTAAAAATCACATTTTAAGATACCCAAATATTCTTCAAAATTGCTGAAGAAAAATGACATACCCCTTATAAAGAAAATACATCCTGATCTGTTACAGGAAATCCATGCACCTAACACGTTAGTCTAACAGGCACAGGTTCCCTGGAGTGATTTATTCTTTTGAGACTGCTACTTTTACAATCTTTAGGGAGTTTTCTTACTAAAAAAAGTTTCCAATGTATTTGTCTCAAAATATTGAAGATAATCTATTGTGCCAATGATATCTTTAACACCGGTCTTGTCCAACTTGAGTGAGAAAAACATTGTTCAAATGTTGGTGGTTTATCATTACAAGTATAAAAAGAGATGCAATTTTTATTTTTTTAAAGCTAGTCACCTAGGAGTCCAAACAGGAGACAAAGAACAGCAACCAAATGGCTGTTGTTCAAACAGACATTCCACAGACTTTAAAGGACAAAGGACATGAATAAGTAGTCCCTGTATTGTTAGTGAAGTAATCACTAATCTGCTATCCCTACCAGGGCTCCATTCAACCTATTCTTTATGTTTCAATAAAATTTAACATTCATTTAAAGTCCACAAAGACAGCTAGTGCCTCTTTTCACAGTTTCTGGATCATCTGAATGAGCTCAACATCATCAGTGATGGAAAGAATAAGTAGTAAAGACTGAATAAGAGTTATAAGTACCACACAAAAAAAATTGAACAGACCCATGACATGAGGAAACTGAAGAACAGATTCAGTCATCAACAGACAAGTGAAAAAAGGAACGCCAGGAACAGAAATCAAAGTCTTCATAGAGGGAAGGAGATGGGAGACTACATCAAATATGAAATTCAAAGAACAATTAGGTGGACAAATAATACAGAGCACACTAGACTGATATAAGTAAGAATGCTATTAAAGTAGTTTAGTGCAAGTAACTCCAGATTATGCAACATAAATGTATAATGGCACAGTGCAAGAAGTCTGTCAATGCACCACCTAAGTTCTTCTATAGGACTATGATTTTGACCGTGATTTGCAAAACAAATTCATACAGTAATTCAGAATGGATATGAACTAATGGGTCACCTGGTTCAGTGATCCTCCTTCTACTCCCCTTCCTGTTTCAAAGAAAACTAACTTTTAATCTTTCCTATTAATCTTGCAGTTCCTTTACATGTCTAGGCTGCTTGGATTTTTTTTCTTCAGCTGAAATAAACCATTTACAAAGAAACCTCTGAGATCAGGATGTTTTTCCAGGAGAAGTACAGGTCAAACATCAGTGATGGCAAATTAAGTGCTGTAATTCTAGATGTTTAATCTTTAAAAAGATACGAGTTTCCTTGATAATGACATCTCTGGTGGCCTGGTGGAAGACCATCTGATAAAATACATAGATGATCTGGCAGACAAACTCATCATCTTCCTGCT